TCAGTTTTAGGAAGGAGGCAAGGCAGTGGTGAAATTCAAAAATGTTTACTACCGGTTCTGTGGGCTTGGCTTGGTGGGCATGGCTTGGTGGGCATGGCTTGGTGGGCATGGCTTGGTGGGTGTAGCAGGGGAAGGATACTGTAAAATCCCCATTCCCTCCCCACTCCTGGGGGAAGGTTACTGCAAAATCCCATTCCCTCCCCACCCCACTAGCCTGCTTTCCAGCTCTGTTCTCCTGTGCAGGGCAACCAAAGAAGACCCAGCCGATCATCTGGGACTCAGGAGGCAGAGAAGAGATGGGGGCAGGGCCAGTCAGAGGTAGGATTTGCTGGTTCTCCGAACTACTCAAAATTTCCACTAGTGGTTCTCCAGAACTGGTCAGAACCTGCTGAACACCACCTCTGAGGCATGGGTAAACCACTTCCGAAATCTTGTCAAGAAAACTGCAAAGACAACACTGAAGCCTTGAAGTCACCCAAAAAAGAGAAAAGGGTTTAACAGAGTATGTGCTGTATGTTACTGCATGTAATCCTAAACTCTTGTGTCTCTGTTGTAAGTGTGGGAGTGTATCTGCTGACAAATTATGCCCCTACTTGCTATTAAGCTTCAGCCGTCTCTGTCTAGTTCCAAGTGGATAGTAAATCAGAAGGCAAATGGCCTGGATGTGTGTTTCAGTAGGGAATATGAACAAAGAAAAACTAGTAAATTTGAAATGAAGTCTATGTAGAAATGAATGTTGCCATTTTCAGGATCCTTTATTGTCAAATAAAAGTGCAGTACTGCATAAAAAGGTACATTTGAATACATGTGTTAGAATTCTGAAATGTGCTATTGACATTAGATTTCAGAAAGGAAAAGTTTCTAAACACTCACTAAAATATTCTCTAAGCCTGGCCTACCACTGAAAAGATTATTCTAAAACTTTATCCTTGTGGATTACAGTACTGTAGCAGATGCAGGGACCTTTCCCCTTAGATTAAAACAAAGAGTCTCTAATAGTAACTGAATGCTAGTTTGAAATAAACTTCCCTGAACTACAACACCTAATGAAGTGGGCTGCAGTCCATAAAAGCTTTTGCTATAATAATTGCTTAGGTTTTATTGTACCAAAATAGTGTTAGTATTGCAATAATAATCAAACACAGCTATCCCTTTGAAATTTCTGCATCAGTGAATATACATCCATGGCATTCTCTTATATCTGCCTTCTGGAGTAGTGCAATCCATTCAGATTATTCTCATAACTCTATTCCATTCTTGGTCTTTCATTTCTGAATATTACGAAGCATGTTCCTGCTAAGCAACCATTTAGAAATAGGAATAATGATCCATGCAGTGATGTTGATAGATTCTACCAAGAAAAATAGTGGGCATGAAATGTTGCAAGTACACAGACAGCTGAAGAAGAAAAAAAGGGGCATTGGAAGAATATCTGAAGGACAGTGAAGAAGATGCACTGAAGCTAGTATACCATGAAGGCTTACTGAGTACTGGAGAAATCAAACTGGGCTACAAGAAAGATCAAATGAAGAAGAGAGACAGGGCAAGGCAAAGTATTACATGGCCAATGTATTAAAACATAGCAGGCAAAAGAAATAACAACATGACCTGGCAATGCTAACAGCAAGAAAGTTGAAGAAAGTGACAGAGTGGCTAATTCTGACTGCATCACACCAAGCTTTAAGAACAGATACATACAAAGCCAGAATTGAGAAGACAGACAGCAACAAACAGCAAGTGCCACCTCTGCAAAGAAGTTGAAGAAACGGTGGACCACTGTTCAATTTAGTGCTCTCTTTGATGGTTTTCTTGCAGATGTGTCATTACAAGGTAACATCATTGGTGCACCATGTAGTTAGCTGCTGAAAGAAGAACACACGGACTGACTATAAACAATGACATGGCAGAGTAGTAATAATGGTGCATTGGAAGACCTACAAGAAATACTATATGCTTGTAAGCAAGAACTTGCAGGGCCATAAAATAGACAAAATAATAGCAAATAAAGAAGCCAATAATAGCAAATAAAGAAGCTGGGACTTTAGGATTCAAACAAATAAGAATCTGCCACATAATATCACTTTCTTATCAATAATCTTTTTTAAAAAAAGTTTGGATAGTGGACATGGCATTATTAAGAAAGCAGAAGAGAAAAAACTGGGAAAAATCACAAAATATAAAAATCTGCAAATAGAACAACCATAACAAAAAAAAAAACCAATGATAATATCAGTATGGAATTCAAGATGGCACCATCAAAGGCATCCTCAGTGAAATGCTCTCTGATCTTATCTTCTTATGACTATAACTTTGTTGCTTGTATTTTATGATTTAAATTATTTAATTAGTGCCCTAGTATGATTTGTGTTGATTGCTTATTTAGTATCCATGACTATCACTAAGTGTTGTATCTGATGAATGTTTTTTTACAATGACAGTGATAATGATCTATCACTATTGTATGTACACTGAGAGCCAATGCACCAGAGACAAATTCCTTGTGTGTCTAAGCATACTTGGCCAATAAAGAATTCTGTTCTGTTATGTTTTGTTCTACATCTTGGGTGCAATTCCAAAATATTTGGAGCATTACTTGAATAACATCATTGACAAAAATCATCATCGGTCAATTGCAAAAGGCAGCTTTACTTGGAACAGCTTACAACCCATGATATTACTAAAGAACAACAACTGCCAATCTGAGGGTCTTGGGAAAGATTTAATAGGTGGGTAAAATCACCAGATCAAGTCTAAACATCTGACTGATTATGTGACCCCCTAATAATAATGTATCAAATTTATATGCTGCCTGACTCCCAGCAACTCTTGGCAGTTTGCAAATTGTTAACAACATTTTAAACCAAGAAACAGGGGAAAAAAGAATAAAAGTGTCAGAGATAACAAACCCAGGTGGGAATGAAAAAAAGAAGAAAGGGGGAATTCAATCACTCACTAGAGTCCTGGGTGAAAACAGTGTGAAGAAATAGAGAGTGCTGTAAGGTATCTAGATGTACATTTTCACTTTAGCATATGACTCTCTGCAGTCTCATCCAGCAGAGTCAATGGCAAGGAATACTCAAAATTGTAGTTCAAAAACACCTGGAATGCCACCAATTCCTCAACGTAAACTTTAATGCAACATTTGAATTCTGTGCAATACAATTTACATGAAGTCTCCCTTGAATATAATTTTAGATGCCCGATATACTTGCTTTCCTGACATTCTTACTCTTTGTTCCCATAGGTGCCCAAGCTATTCTCATTAACAGGGAGTAACATACTTGTTACTTCTAGTATATGGGAAATTGTTTAATTAAGAAATAGGCTTTTATTGGGTACCATGGATTAGTTTTTGGATTTACAGCTGGACCCAAGGAGAATGAGATTCAAATTCCTACTATACAATGAAGTGCCTTCTATGCTTTTAAGTTAATATGCTTCCAACTAACTGACTTCACAAGATTGTTGGGAGCATGGTTTTAATCAACAAGAAAAAATTCCATCCAGTAAGAATGCTGGGCAGTAATCTCTGGGATCAGAGTTTAAATCTTCCCCAAACCATAAAATCCATAAGATGAGAGTGGCAATCAATGTTATAGGATTCTTATAACATTTTAGAATCCTGGAAATTTAGACATAGACGCTTATAGATTTTTAGAGGACTGGGAGTTGAGCAGCATGATTAGACTAAATATCATATGATCTTGACTTCATATGACCATTTTCTTTGACTCCTTTGAATACTAATATTTGATAAATTGATTGATCCATTAATTTCAAATCAGTATAATAGCCTAATATGGACTTGATCTTATCATTGATGCAAGCTGTGGAAAGTTATGATCTGGGAGACAAATGGGTTTGTATGAATATTCACCCGTTTATAAATTTAAACTATCAAACTAATTCAAGAAATGTATGCATTGGTTTTACAAACCGAATACATCAAAATCCATGACCAGTTCAGATACTTTTCATCCATGTATTTTAATTATCTGAATCAAATCTAATCTAATTAGGAGATTCACTCCTGGAAAAATCTCAACAAATGCCAACAACATTGGAAGCTGCAGTGCATTTTGCTAGAGAGGATTGGAAGGAACATCAAGTGTATGTGTTTATTTATTTTTTAAATATTTTTAAATAATAAAATCCCAAAACTGTTCTGGGAAGCCCTTTGTTCTAGAGATGGTCTCACTGCCTTCTCAGTTTGGCCTTGTGCTCTGCATATCTTTCCAGGAATGGTTCCTAAAGCTGTAGGATTTAACAGGTTTAGAAAGGAATAAGCTCTATTGAACTTAGTTGTATTTATTTCTGATTATGCACATATCACATTTAGCTGCATGGAAACCAAACACATCTGCAAAGTCCTAATCTTTGCTGAGTTCACTGGAAGTTTATTCTTGCATAACTATGTAGAAACCTAGCACTCAGTCCTACACATGCTTACACAGAAGTAATTCCCACTTTTTTTGTCAGAATGGGACCAAAGCACTAAATCCAGGTTGTTAAGAGCCTGTTCCCCACATCAATCAACATGAACCAAGATGGTTGAGGCTACTAAAAGTTGAAAATCAGCCAGCGGTGGAGAACCACACTTTCCCCACCCTTCTGCATGCGTTTCTGTGTAGAGACAAAGATGGGAAGCAGTGAGAATATAGTTCATATATGTATTGTAATATGCATGGGCAGTAGATTTAAGGGGCAAAATAGAAATTTGCTCTTCCTACATACCACTTTAAGAGCTTATCTTTCGGCTGGTCCAGACAAGGTAAGGCACTTGGAAGCTCACCTGTAACCATGCTGCTTTATTGCAGTTGGATTTCTCTTCCTTCCCACAAACAGTTGTCACTTCCTCAAAAAGCTCCACCCCCAACTTTGCCTTAATAAATGAGCTGCTTAGACTTATATGAAAGGGAAATAACACAGGTAGGAAAGAGTTTAGGGAAGCAGGAATTGCATGATCTGGCTGGAGAAATACATTTCACAAGATGCTGAAGATGCAAAAATACCAGTGTGAAAACCGTCCCTTCAAGGAGAGGAAAAGTTTTGGTAAAAGGATTGTTGCTTCAAAGGGAAACAAGGATTATATAAGACTATGTCATGGAAACTCCTAATTTTCTTTCATTTCTAATCTACTTATCTAACATATTTTTGGATTCTCTCTCTTAAAGGGGCTGTTAGATCTGTTTAACATTTCAGTTCTGCTTTTCCTTCACCCAAATGCACACTGCTCTTCTATTTCTTTTCTTTACATGAACCTTGCAAGTTAGATTAGGTTGCAATATTGTGACTGATCCAAGAAAGCCCTATGAGGTGTAAAACTTATCCTAACCCTAACCTCTCACTTTGTTCTACCTGCTAATTCATAGGAGTTGCACAGTATGCAAGAATTAACCAAGGGAAACTTTTCCTGACAGTTGGCATTCTAACTGACTTTAAGGAAGCTGTTGGAAATAGAATACAAGAATCTTGTTAAAGAAAATGGGACAATCCTCATTCCTCCTGACTCATTAGATAGAGGTAGAGAACAGTGCCAACTAGTATATGAAATAATTTCTTAACATAGTGAGACAATGGGAGTTGTAGCATCTATAGGGCCACAGTTGCATGTTTTTGTGGTTTTTCTTCATTTTACCACTTTACACTTTTAAAACTTGTTTCTTAGGCTAAAAACATGGTAAACGTTAGTGGTTTCAACATCTCTATTTGGGTGGAGCAACTTGGTTTATGCAGATAAGCATTCTGATAACTTTCAAAGTAAATTGGGACAGAATAAATATGGGTTGAATCTTTCTAAATTCTTATAGCTACTGTGTGAATATATATGTCTGTGTTTGTTTTTAGCAACTCGGATAAATGAGACAACAGAAATTCGGGGGAAGTATCCCAATAAAATTCCGGTAAAGAAAATACCTTTTCCCCCATTTGATAGAATGACTCAGCTTTTTGCTGTAACTTCCAAGGGCTCAGCAAATGAAACAATACAATTAACTGAAGATATAAGTAATTGGAGAATGAACTTCTATTTTCTGGAGAAGCTTCAGTGTTATACAAGAACTTCTCATATTTATCCAATTGTCTGGTAACATATATTCAGCAATAATGATGAGGCGAACAGTCTACATCTTGGCTTTTTTGTCAATTTGGTATTTTACCTTTTGGGTCAGCTTAACAGCTTAACATTTGCCCACCATGGTAAATCATAAACTAGCTATGATTAGTGGGGAATCTTGGGGAAGTGGAAGGACCCAGAATTTGTTCCTATGCTCCCAATGTTTTGCTTGGAAATTGCAGAATAGACTTGACTTGTTTCAGTCAACATGGGGAACTTCTTACCCTGTCTATTTATGAACAAATTTCCTAAAACACACCTTCTACATGAATAATAAAATGCAATGAAAGGAAAAATCTTGATTTTGGCAGTTAACATTTAATAACAGTTAACATGAGAAGCAGGAGGTCTGCCTTCTGCTTCTAATCTCACTGTTTCAAATGCCACAAGATTTGTCATCAAACGGAATGAAAGTCATTGAAAAATAACATGGGGTTTCTTGCTATATTTGAAACTTAGCATCCAGTTGCCTTAATTTTGCTAGCCCTTTGCAAACAAAACCCAAATATTTTTTAAGAAAAAATATAAAGCAGGAGTCCCAAGCATAGGATTTTTCTCCAATCCAGTAATTTACACACACTGCTCTTTGGTTATATCTTTGTCCAGCTTTCCACAGTGACCTTTCTGGCATTTAAATGAAATCCTGTTGCTGGTGGATGGAATGTCTTGGAATGAAACTGAAAGACACTTTGTATTCACATGATAGGCTACTTCATAGTTTAACTTTGATACTTTTATCAAATAAACCACAATAAGAATCCTACATTTGTTGAGCCATTCTTTGCATCTGATAGTGAATTGAGGCTCATGAAAACTTATGCCTTTTAATAACACTTGGTAAAAGCTACCAGAATCCTAATTTTTGCTACCATGGAAAAAGCATAACTTTCTTCCTATGATGCCAGCACTACAGTGCAATGATTTAGTTACATGATTCAGTTTTAATGTTCATTTCAACTTCTGGAAATATGACAATAATGAAAGAGGGGAAAGGTTCTCACATTTTTGTTCCTATGCTGGGAGATCAGATGATATTCTGTCATCAAATCAACTAATCCTTGATTTGAATCTGCCTAACCTAATCCATGGGTCTTAGCCTAAGTTCTTCAAATGCTAGAATCTGCCTTAGTTGCCTTTCTGCATTGCATAGAGTCTTCAAGTAAATGTAGGATTTCTCCTACATGATAAAGTACTTGCTAAGACTTAGTTGGGGTCAAGAAGTTCCAGTTCTGATTCCTATTTGATCTCTGTGATAAAACATTAACTATATATATGTAACTGAATAAGTTAGAGATGATTTGGGTTACTGTATTATATAACAATTTATAAGCTAAAACCAATCTAGCTGCATGATTTCATGCAGTGTATAAAATAAGCTGTCGAAGCTTCAGTCCTATGGGAATTTAGGAGTCACACCTGGAATATTGGATGGCTGGATATAAAGAAGAAAAGAGCTTTTAGAAGGTAATATCAGCAAATGTTACATGTTGTATAAGCCACACCTGCTGAAAGTTGTTTTCCAGTATACCTCATCAAATGCAAGGTCTTGTCCTAATGGCGACTTGGCTATCTAATAACCTACCAAGCCATCAAATTTCCAATCATTGCTCCTAAGGTGACAATTAAAAATGTCCCAATCTATTTTATAGGATTGTTATGAGCATCAGCTGTCATGACATTTGCATACTGTGCTGATCTATGATTTCCTGGCAAGGTTTACATGACAGGCCAAAGCAACCATTATATCTTGGTGTCACATGTGAGACAGTTGTGATTTAAGATTTACTGTTTTTCAAAAGCATACAAATATCACTTCAGCACTCTGCTGGTTGTGGATCAATGGAAGCCAATTTTAGTTTCCCAAGTCCAAGGCAGATATTTGTCCCTCCACAACTCTGGTGACATACCAAAAAGCTCAAGTTTGATGATAGTTCAACTATAGTTATAATCAGAACCTAGTCTATTGCTCAAACAGAGCTTCTTGTCACCCAAAGCTGTTGAAAAAAAAAACTCATCTATGAAGCCATTCTAGGAGCAAGAGGCCTTAATCCTGGATTGTACTTACATTTATCTTTCTACTAAATTTTCCCCAACCATTTCTCTGCTGAGTGTGGAGTAATTTCTGCATAGCTCCAGATGTCCATCTTTTTTTAGTGGCTTGCACAGACCTGTCAGCTCACCCAGTAATATGACTTCCAACCTGCCCCTTCAAAAATCAAAGGCTTATAATTGAAAGTGAATTATAGCATCTTGGTAATTAAATAAATTCATTTGTCCACAGGTGGTAGTGGAACGTTACAGGAAGGAGAAGATTCTTCCCCAGTTGGATCGGATCAAGTTTTTGGTTTCTCCAGATATATCCATGTCTCAGTTTATTTTCACTCTGAGGTAGATGGGGACTGGAATTGGGCCATGGGAAGAATAGTGCCTTTCATTCTGAGGTTCTCAAGCAAACATCATTACATATATCCTGTTTATATCCTTTATGTTACTAAGGAAAGGGAGTTGGTTTTACTTAATGACATTACTGCCACATTAGCCTCAATTTGAGCATTCTCCTGTATAGTTCTTACTCCAGAACAGATCGTTGATATTAGCAGAAACTGTCTATGGACTTTGCGGTGCTTCTGAGTTCTTTGTCCCAACAGTGCTTTTCCAAAAGGCAACTTGATTTTGTTTTTTTCTTGAAGATGTTTTGCTTCCCATCCAAGAAGCTGCTTCAGTTCTTCAGAAGAAGCTTCTTGGATGAGAAGCGAAACATCTTCAAGGAAAAAATAAAGTCCAGTTGCCTTTTGAAAAAGTACCTTTGGGAATACCATGACGCGGATGAGTGAGAATCTCCACAGACATTATTTAAACTTTCAACCTTTTTCTAAAAGAAGATCCAATGTTTTCCATCTGACAAAAAGCCTTATTGAAACAAGAGTGCATCATTCTATAAACAAGATGTCTTAAGTAAAAAAAAAAAAATCTTGATAGTATGGATCTCAAATCCTCTCTGCTTCTTTATGCTGTTCCCAATTAAGAGCCATTTGCTGATATAGGGCAAGAATGTGTATGTGGCTTTGCATGCCTGCTAATTATTCAACTCAAGTGAATATGGGAAGTGTCTCTATGAAGGAGCAGTTCATCAGAGGAGAAGTCAGCCAGCACCCACTACACTAATAGGCAGAGTCAGGAGGACCTAGTAATTGCCTCATCTAGGTTTAGCAAACCTTCCTACAGATTTGAAGGCTCTAACATGGCAAGGATGAACTCATCTTGATTTTCTAGAAAACCCTTTTCTTGAGACCAAAAACTTATTCTCCAGGTGTGAGAGAGCACTGCAACATTCAATTTTGACAACGCTGGGGTAAAACTGTTGGGAGTGGGAATTCATGCAACCCCAAACAGATTGGTCGGGTGCTGCCTTCCCTCATCCAGGGCATACGGCAATGGGATACTCCCCACTTCAAGAAAGGTTTAGAATATGTACTTCAGGCCTCATGTGAGCAAAGCCTCACTTTTAGTCATTTAGTCTCTTCGTTTAGCCATCCATGTCCTTTTTCAAGCTTGCGTGCAAGAGGGCCGAAAAGCTGCTGCTGCTTAATGGAGCAAATAATTATGGAACTCATAAAAGCAGCTGCATTGTTTTTGTTAGGCTTGTGCATGAAAAAAAAAAAGCAAGTGGGTTTTCATGAATAATAGAGGTGCAGCCTCCACACAAGATCCAAAAGGCTTTCTTCTGTATCAGTTTTGAAATGTGTGCAGCCCTTACATATTCCAGTCCTTTCAGAGGCAGGTGAAAATGGGTTTGTTTGTTCTTTAAAAAAATCCACTTTAGTGTTTTTAGACAGCTTAAGTGCTACTGATGATTGGGGTTCTTGCATTAATTGCTGTTAATTGCTTTTCTTATGGTGTTTTTGCTCTGTTGGTTTGAGGGGTTTTTCTCATACTGGGAGTTTTATTGATTTGTGTATCAGGGAACTACACGAGAAATATGTGGGTCAAATCTAGCCAGCAGCCATTTCTTTTCTTTCTTCTGATCTTGCCTTGACATCTCCTCTTTTTCTCCTTCTCCAGAACCCGGCTGTCCCTTACAGCTACCCAAGCCTTCTACTTACTCGTGAACAATCAAACCCTACCCTGTCCTAGTCTGACTATTTTAGAGATCTACAATGACAACAAGGATGAAGATGGCTTCCTCTACATGACCTACGCCTCTCAAGAGATGTTTGGTGCAGGAGCCTCTTTGGAACAGCAATGAAGCTATCTCAAGGGGGTGGGATCCATGCCTCCCTGAGAGCCAAAAACCAGTGGGAAAAAATATATATATTTTAAAAGACCGTTTTGGCACAAGAATGGCATGGGAGGGTCTTCGCAGCCAGCCACAGGATGTTCTCTTATGACTTTGGTCCCTGATGCTACTACTTCACAGCTTCCCTTTTTGGCTCTGCCTGAATGGAATTTTGAGAGGACACTGAGCTTTGAGGTTCTTACTAACTCTGCGGGTTGTTAGTTTTATCCACTGCCAGCTTATTCTTTTTAATTAGTCTTATTTTTTATTTACTTATTTATTTATTTATTTTCTTCACAAAACGAATTTCACTTCACATTGTGCGCACTCACTGAGACTGGAGTCTTTTTATCAGGGGAAAAAAGCTGGTTGACCTAAGGAGGAGAATCTGGAGAATGCCACTTGTGGACATTTTAATTGCACAGTCATTGGTTACTGCATCCCTCCCTCTCTTTACCCCTTTCCCCTTATGATTACAATGAAGAAATAAATGAGCGCCATTCCATATCTGATCTGAGAATGGGTCTATTTCTTTTTTCCCCCGATAAGATTAAATAAATGACTTAGTACCTTTTATAATCATTCGGTTGCCTTTTCAAAAGAGGGGCAGAGGGATGCTTGACTTTGGCCTTCTTTTCAAAGATCCTTTGAAGCCTTTGTAGGATTTATACTGTAGGCTTTCCCCCCAATCTTCTGGCTTCTAGGTGGACTACATAAGATACTGAGAATAAGTTATATATATTCTCAGCCCGCATGACTGGCCTTTTTGGCTGGAGATCTGCTGTGATCCTAGCATATCTGACAGCATGATACACTGGGAAATGGTGGTCCAGTGGATTCTGTGTGGGTTAATAAAGTAATCTCTCTTTGGCTTAGCCTCATAATAATAAAAAAAGTTTTGGCCTTAGTCCTTCATCATGACAAAAAACATGAGACATGAGAGATGATTATCATTTACTCCTCTGAACAATTCAGGATCCAAGATGGTCATCCTTCTGGGCCCATGAGTATCATCTTAGGTAGAGAAGCTAGAATTAAAAAGTTGGATATACTGAACAGACTTCAGGATCAGTGGTCAGGAAGGAAGCATATCAAGAACTTGGCATTTTAAAGGATCTCGGAAATCAATGATGCGATAATATGTACAAAGTAGTAGTACTTAGGCTATGACTGAAGAATGTTCTCCAACAACTGGCCTGAACATAGGCAATATATACTGGCTTCGCATATTATGTGAAGCTATGGTTAGTTTAAGCAGGATTTATTGAGAAACTATAATTAGCTTAGTTTGTTATACCATAAATGGTTTATGCACAGTTTGTTTGTTTCCGATTTGTTTAGATACCCAATTCCAACAGCAGGGTTTGCTCAATGTATTAGGATCAATTTTTTATCTATCATCTACTTTCTAAGTATGATATGTAACCATATCCCTGACTCTTCAGTTAACCAAGTGGTAAACAATTGTGAGAACTGGTCAACATGACTTGATTTAGTGCCATACTGAAGACTTTCAGCAATTCCTGACTTAATTTTTAATACATGGGCAGTTTTAAATGTTATGTGTATTGCAGCTTCTTCTGGCTTAAAGCTACAACATTGCAAGCAATATCTCAGCTTCATTCTTGGAATATATATGTTGTTAAAATTCCCAACATAAAATGGTTTTGTACTCTGGCAGAATGCAAACACTTCCTTTAGGTTACTTTATAATAGATTTTTAGTTATAATTATCCCTTTGGGTTGTTGGCTGGAAAGCTGTCATCCAATTAAATAAATCTAACTGGATTTGGTTGATTAAATATTAAGGACATTTTACACACACAATTCTTCTGAAGGGAGGAGGTGTTTTGAACTGAGCAGGGAATGAAACAGGTCAGTTTTCCTCATAGGGGACAGAACTATTGCTTTTTCAAACATGGTATCAGTCACCTCAAAAATTCATATATTTTTTAGGAAAACAACACAAAAATTATGTGTCTGAATATAATCTGTTGCTGCATGGTCAGCCAGAGGCATCTTTTTTAAATCATATTCCTGCTCCATATTATGAAATCATTACACAATCATTTATATCCAGCTTTTCAGGCCAACAATCCTTTCAAAGCAGCTTATGAGCAATAGAAACAGTGGCCTATCAAACAGATAGAGTAATTTAAAAAGAAAACAAACCCTAAAATGCCTTCCCCTGGTGCATTTGCTGGTGATGTCCCTATGGGGTTGAGGGAAAATACAAGTTGCTTCTGTGACATCAGTCAATGCCTTCCTCTTTTAATGGATTGGTCTAATTAGATCACTAAATTCTGTAAAATATGGGTGGGTTGGAAGGGTATTGCATTAGCATTGAATCAGATTCTAGGAAATTAGGGCTCTCAAGAGACTTGAGAAAATAGAATTTCTTCTATTAATATAACTCCCAATTTCCCCTCATTGTCCTCTATCAAAACATGCCCTTTCATACTTGGCTCCTTCTCGCATTCCATAAATAACATTTCTGCTTAGGTTGATAGGAATGCTTTCTTCCTTAAAGAGTCATGCCATAACCCATTTATTGGCTCTCATAAATCTTACTCATTTCCTCTTAATTTCTCTTCAAAGCAGGGGTGGGCAATGTATGGCCATGTGACTGCCTCTTATTCTCATTGTGACTATAAGGGATCAGCTTAGACTTCTAACTTCCTTCTCAGAAGCAATAGAGAGAAAGTAACAAGAAAGAAGGGAGAAAAGGAGGGAAAGGTGGTGGCAGAAAAAGACAGGGGAAATGGAGTGTAAGCAAGAAAGATAGGTGAGTGTAAACAAGAAGGCAGGCAATAAGAAAATAGGATGAGAGAAAGAGCAAAGGAAAATAAATGTCTGTGGAGATTCAGTCATCCAGGTCATAGTTGTCCCAAAGGTGCTTTTCCAAAGGGCAACTGGACTTTTGTTTTTCTTGAAGATGTTTCGCTTCTCATCTGAGAAGCTTCTTCTGAACAACTGAAGCAGCTTCTTGGATGAGAAGCAAAACATCTTCAAGGGAAAATGAAGTCCAGTTGCCTTTTGGAACAGCACCTTTGGGACAAAACAAAAGAAAGTTACAGAGAGAGCTGGAGAGAAGTAATTGGCAGGTGCATGGGGGCACTAGTGAGCCTTTGGGCTCCATTCACCTGCACCTATGGTGGCTAGGATGCCCTGTGGTGGGGTTCAAAAATAGCCATGAGATCAAGACCTCACTCTCCCTTTTTTAAAAAAATATGAAATGACACGTGTGAAAAAGGGTAGGGCTTCAATCATGCAGTGGCAATCATCTTGACGTTTTGACCTCCCTCCAACCAGGAGCCAAGTGAGATCTACCTGATGGATCTTAACATCTGTGTTATTTGGTGAGGAGGGCTACTTCAATTATAACTGAGAGCAGCCATTTTGGCTATTAATCCCAGGCACCTTTGAAGTTCTCTCTTTCTCCCAATCAAAGCTACGAGGGACAGGATAGGGAAGGTTTCACCTCTCCCTGTCCTTTTCTGCTGTGTTTCACACACATGGTCCTGCATCTGTGTATGGAAGTGGTAATGAAAAGAGCTAAAATATACTATCCATTTTGCAATGTTCTTATCACCATTGTGGATGGTCAGAAAACAAAGCGGGCAAATTAGTCTATTCTTTCTGCTGCGAATGACACAATAATCTGCACAGAATGGACATTATCCCATAATTAATCTTGGATACCAGGCAGACAAAATGGCCTCCCAACATGGAAATGATCAGGCTTCTATATTCAGCACATGCTGAGACTGTCACCAACCTGATTTAGTATTTTGTGCGAATGGAGACTAATGGAAGCAAATGGAAAGAAAAAAAGTTCTACTTTTGTAGCAGAAGCCTAAATGAATGATTGGCTTTATAATCTCAGGAAGCACGTGTTGGGCCAAGATGGAAATGTGAATAATTATTAGCTATGCTGTACTTGCTTCTTTTCCTGATAGCCATGTTTTTCTGTCCTAGATTTTTTTTTCAGTGAGTTGCTAACAAACAATATTTTAGTTTTTGCAACTGGTCTGGTATGTGGTACCCTTCTGATATGTGCCACTATGGCTTTTTCATCTATATGTTTCAGGGCGGTGGTTTTTCAGACCCGATTACAAAGCTTTGTTTCCAGAATCCCCTCCACATAAACTGGAATTCTGCAGTGATTCCTTCATCAAAGCTAGTAAAGAGGAATGTGAAACTTGGAGTCAAATTGGAAAGGGTTAGATGCCAACACCGCTTTTGAGTTCCTAGGAGAGAGGAGGAAAGAAGTAGGATATAGCAGTCATGGAGAAGCGGGGCTGGATTGCATGTCTATCAGCTGTTCCAGATTTCTGTAATAAAATGCAACTGGTAAAAGATGATCTCAGAAAGCCTAGCTTCCATATTATACTCCCATCATAAAGTCAGTTTGTTGGGCAAGTCTCTTCTGATGACTTGTTTAATAAACTTGTGAAAATGAAAACAAGCATTATCAGATTCCTGTTTGAAACATCAGATTAGAACTGGCATCTCTGGATTATAAGCACCAAATTACTATATTTTTAGCTACTGAGCCTTATGTGTATTGTAGTGTTATGCACTAACCCTATTCTCAAGCTTCCAAGACCCTGCGATTGCCCCACAGCAACAAGGGTTCCTATTCCCTCAAGGAATATTGTAAAAACAACTATTCAGAATTCATAAATGGTATTTCAGAAGACCGGTGTGCTCTTTTCTGATTTCCCAGTCAGACCTTTGTTTGATTCAGTGTACCAAATGCAGCCCATTGTGCAGTCTGACACCTAGGATTGCAAAAACCTGGGAGTTACCCAACAAGGTTGTGATTGAATTCACCTGCTCTTCACTTCAGGCATCAGAAAGTTGTATTAACTTGCCGTACCACCTGCAACCTCAGAGCAAAATGACAATCTTCACAAGTCTAAGCCTTGCTAATCACTATGCAATGCATGCACCTGGTTAGTAAACAG